CTTTAACATGTTCTATGAGCAAGTATGTGGTCTGTTTTGCAGAATGAACCATGTGCAGCTGAAAAGAATGCATATTCTGATTTTGTGGGGTGGAACACTCTATTAACATCTTCAAGAGTTTGGTTGAGTTTTAGTATTTCATTTTTTGTCTAGGTGATCTATTTGTGACAGGGGTATATTGAGGTGCCCATTACTATTGGATTAGTGCTTGTTTGATTTTTCATGTCATTTATATTTGTTTTATATAGTTGGGTGCACTAGTATTTGGTGCATATATATTTATGATTTTTATCTCTTCCTCTTGGATTGTTCCCTTTACAAGGATGTAGTAATCTTGTTTGTCTCTCTTCATTAGTCTTGGTTTAAAATTAATTTTATCTGCCAATAGGATAGCTAGCCCTGCTTTTTATCAGGTTCCTGTCACATGGAGTATTGTTTTCCACCTTTGAACTTTAAGTATATGCCTTTCATTTTTTAATTATGTGTGTTTCCTGTATGCAGCATATTGTTAGATATTGCTTCTTGACATCTTGCCAGTCTATTTCTTTTGATTGGTGAATTGAGACCATTAACATTGATCGTTATAAATGATATGTATTGACTTGTCATAATCTTTTCCTATTGTGGGATTCCTTCTCCCCTTTGCATTTTATTTCTTGTCTTGCTTGATTCATTTCTTTGGGTTCCATGTAACTGTTACCCTCATTGTGTTTTCCTAGGATATTGTTTAAAATTCTTTGGAGTGCTAGTTTGGTGTTCATGAAAGTTGTTGGGTGTTCTTTGTCATGAAAGTAACTTATTTCTCCATTGATTTTGAAAGATAGTTTTGCAGAGTACATGAATGTGGCTTGGAGGTTATTTTCTTTTAGTGCTTGAACTACTTCATTTCAGGTTCTTCTTGACTTCAAGTTTCGTGCTAAGAAGTCTGCTGTCATTCTAATGAGCTTCCCTTTGTGTGTGATTTTGTTTCATTTTTCTAACTGCTTATAGTATTTTGTTCTGTTGGGTTTATGGAATCTTGAGTATTATATGCCTAGGTGTATTTTTTTTAATCACAGCTAGAGGGAGTCCTTATATGCCTCTTTTATGTGTATGTCAAATTCTTTCCCTTTACTTGGGAAGTTTTCTGCCATTACTTCTGTGTAATTGTTTTTCATGTTTGCACTCTCTCCTGTTTCTTCATTGACTCTCATCATTGTCATGCTATTCTTCTTTGCATAGTCTAGCAGCTGTTGGATTGATTTCTCATGGTCCTTTACTATTTTTAAGAAATTTTTCTTTTTCTAGTCACTAATTGCAACCTTGTCTTTTATATCTGATACTCTGTCCTCACACTGGCTCATTCTGTTGTGTAAACTTTCAAAGGATTTTTTAAAATCTCCTGGATATCTGCTTGAATCTGTTTTCTGGATTCCATTTGTTTCTTATGCTGGAATTCCATCTTGTTTCTGAGCTCCTGTATTTTTTTAATCTGTGACTGCTCTGGAGTTATTAATCATATCTTTCATGATGGGCACCATCTCTGTTGTTATCTGAGTAATTTTTCCAACTTTATTATTTCCATATACTCTTTCATTGCCAGTTTAGGGCATCCAGATGATTGAGTATCAGATTATTCCATCTCTTTACCCCCTTGGAGTTGCCTTTTTTGATCTGGAAGTCTGTTTTTGAGTCTTGTTTAGTCATCTTCTCATTTTTATTTTGTTATTGATGATGCTTTTGGTTTAATTCCTAGGTTGCTGCTTATAAAATGCTTATTGCGAGTATCTTTATTGATATTATTTAGAACCATTAGGGTATGGATACTTCCTGGATTGTCTTCTAGGTTTGGTTGGCCTCTGGGTTTTGAATCTGTAATGGTCCTTAGGTAATCTCAGTCTTGTTATACTAGATAGGACCACTGACTAGAACAATCACATCATGGCCGGGGATTTAGCTCAATGGTTCAGTGGCCTGCCTTGCAAGCACAAGGACCCAAGTTCAATCCCTGGTACTCTCCTCCAAAAAAAGAAAAAAAGAACAGACACATCACTATGGCCAAAATAATACAATCAGCATCGATAATAGCATCAAACATAGCCATTCCCTGCAGTCTACTTCTCCTTTTTTGAGGTGTATCTGCTCTCCCAGTGTCCTTAAATTCTCAATGAGCCTCAGAAAGGCTTCTCTACTGTTCACCAGTGCACCAATTCCTTGGCTCAAACTGATGGCCTTCAGGATCCCTGTACTGTGCTGCTGTTCCAGGAGGCCTCTGGCTGGGGTCTATGTGCCCTTTCAAATGGTATATGGATGAGCATCTGGTGAAATCTGTGTGCCCAAGACTCTGTTGTCCCTGTGATCCTCTGGTTGGGGACTGCACATCTGCACCTATTTGGACAGGGCTCTGGCACTTCTTCCTTTCTTATCTTTATTCCTTTTATTTCTTTTTCTTCTCTAATTGCTTTAGCTAATGTTTCTAGAACCAAGTTGAATAGGAGTGGTGATAATAGACACCCTTATCTTCTTCCTGATTTTAGTGTGAAAGCTTACATTTTTTGGCGATTTATTCACATGTCTAGGGATATTAGTGCTGGCTGTTGGCTATGGCATGTCAATTCTTCTCCCCATTGCCTCTTGTAAAGTAGGTCATACTGGGTTCCTTACATGACAGTCTCAGGACATCATTCTTCAATCTTCTTGATGCCTAGGCTATGGAAATAACACATTTGTACCCCATTCTGTTGGCCAAAGCAAGTCACAGGTCAGTCATAGTCAGAAAATGGAAGAATAGACTCCACCTCCCAATGGGAGCAGAAGCAGAGCCACATTGGGATGAAAGATATGAACAGTTTCAATAGTTATGATGTCTATCTTTGCTGACCTTTTCCATTTTTTTTCTTTTTATTAAAGCTGGCAGTCCAATAGCAATCAGGCTATGCAGTCTCTCTATATATGGAGAGACAGAACTACAAAATGTGATAATAGGAGGTTGTGATGAAAATCTGGAAACCCTGAAAATGCAGGTATGTCATATGACTGATCTGATGTGTCATTGGAAAAAAATATGACTCTCAGCAAAATCTTTATTCTTCAGATACCTGATGGTCAAATCAATGCTTTTTAAAGTATCAAATTAGAAATACCAAAACTAGTAACCAAAACTACTTTTATTGTTTTAAACTTAATATCTATTAGTGAAAAAAGGACAATTAGACATGTTGGTCCAGCAAATTTCAGAAAATTATAATCTATAGCACATTTTAAATGGCCTTCTCTTTTTAGACCAGTCAAGTTTTGAATGAAATAGATCCCTGATATTTGAAGAAAAGTATTATTTGATAGTCTACTGGATCAGAATGTATAGGAAAATAACTATGACCAAAATATTTTGAGACATGAAATACCTAAACTTATGATAGTCTCAGAGCTGTATTCATGAGCAGGTGAAATGCATTTGGCTAGATATTTTTCATGAAGATTACATTATTTTGACTAAGGTTGTAGACAACTGCATATATATGGAAGAGCTAACATTAAAGAGCAAGGAAAGGAAGCAGTTATGTAGATCTTATGCTTCAGGCATGTTACACACATCTCATTTAATTTTTTTTTTTTTTTTTTTTTTTGGTACCGGGGATTGAACTCAGGTCCTTGCACTTGCAAGGCAGGCCACCAAACCACTGAGCTAAATCCCCAGCCCTGGAACCTTACACTTGAGAAGCAGGCAGCAGAACCACTGAGATAAATCCCTGGCCCCTCATTTAATTTTTTTATTAAGATTTATTTTTGAGACAGGATTTCACTATGAAGTTGAGGTTGACCTTGAATGCACTATGTAGCCTAGGATGGCCTCAAACTTGCAGCAATACTCTTTCTTCAGCCTCCCAAGTGCTGGGATTACAAGCTAGTACCACCACACTCGGCCTCATTTAATTCTCATCAAACTTTTTGTGAGTTGGATATTATTCCTACATTTCAGATACTTATAGCGAATAACACTAGCTAATTGATGAGCATTTACTCCAGGCTAAATACAGATGCTTCTGATCTTATGATGGGGTCACAACATAATCAACTCATTCTAAAATGAAAATATTGTAAATTGATAAAGCATTTAACCCAAAATCATGGTTAATCAACACAGTATACCGTAAAGTTACCAATATTTTATCCTCACCATTGTGTGTCGGGCTCAGAGCTGTAATTTGCTGTTGCTGCCCAGCATAACAAGAGAATAGCACATTGTATAATGCTAGCCTGAGAAAATATCTAAATTCAAAATTTAAAGTAGTTTATGCAAAATGCATATTGCTTTAATACCACTTATAATGTCAAAAATCTTAAGTTGAACCACCTAAGTTGTGGACTTGTTACAGTCAGCTGAAATTTTTTTAAACTCACAATTATAACACTATTGATAAGTATTGATGTATCCACTTTATAGATGAGGAAAATTTGACTCAGAGGTGTAATGTTTTGTCCAGTGAGAACAGCCCAAAAAGTGATGGAGGTGCCCTTTACTTTAAAATTCACACTGCACTACTCTGAAAATAGATAGGAGAGGGTAGGGATGGAAAGGAAATTGAGATGTGCAGATGGCTATCAATCATGTCACAGACTGGAGGGAAGAGTGAAGATTTTGCAGGCTGCTGAGCCAGTGTGTAACTCTTTATCCAAGCTGTGTGAACTTTGGGTAAGCTACTTAGCATTTTTATTTTTTAAGTGGAGGAAAAGAGGCTAAACTCTCAATGTTGTTTTTTTCTTCTGAATGATAACACCTATAAATCACCTAACAAAGTAGCTAGCATGTAGCAGGGACTTAGCTGTTGTATGAGACACTTGTTTCTGTCTACTGATTGACATATTACTGATTGAATATTATTTCTGACTCTTTCCTAAGTGTGAATAGCTCATAACATTGATTTGCATTTTGAGATGATGCTACCATCCAGTGAAAAACTTAACTCCCACATTAATTCCCAGCAGCACTCATAGTATGGACTATTGTGTTTCAGACTCACAACACAACGACCCAGGGCCAACTGGTATCTTGAGAAGTTGTCTTCAAACTTTCTGATGGAAAACTAAGTTTAGAAAGTTCCAACCCTTTGAGACCAATAATTCTGTAAAATACAATGAAATGAATTATTAGAAAAGTGAAATGAAAGCTACATGAAGTGCAAACCAAATTTTATAATTATTTATTAATGTTTTTATTATCAGCAGTATAAAATTGCTACATACTTTTCTAATCACTCCCATTTTCTGTGCTTATTTCCCTATGGACTTTGTAACAATCAATGAACCAGCTATAGTCCCTGTTTATACTTTTTGTAGTTATGACCTTACTAAGTAGCTCATTTTAATTAATTATTCCTGGAACACAGTAAAGGCTGAGAAACCACTGGCCTGAATGCACTATGTCCTCTACACAAGGAAAAAAAATCAACATGAAAAACTTGGAGGATGTGATGTTCAAGATGTGAAGACTCAGCTAAGTTTCAGCTGTATAGGTGTATTTGCTAACAAAATATTTAAACATAGTTTTATAATATTAGTTTTTTTTAACTTTTTAAATAGATAGATAATATTTCAACAATATCTGTGAATATTTCCACTGAAGCCCAGATTTTAACATCTGATGCCAGTAAATTAACTCCTGAGAATATCACCTCTGCTACTAAGGTAGTTGGACAAATCTTCAATATATCCAGAAACGCTGACTCTGAGGTAAAATTCAAATCTCTAAAACAATCTAGAGAAAGATATTCTATTTCTTATAGCATGATATGCTTTTTGAATGTTTAGGTTGCTTAAATCCATTTTGTAGAAGATTCTTTCTGAGAGATGTTCTAAGAAGTTTTTTTTTAAAAAAAATACCTCTTCTTTTGAGATAGTCACAGTGGTCATTATTATGCTAAATCTCTCAGAAAGTCCTCAAATGAAGTTTCTTATTTTATTAATATATTTGCAACCAACATCCCTGTTGTACTTGACCCCAATATTTTACCCCAATATCCTTGTTCAATTTTAAGTATATAGTATTTCAAAGAACTCACTGTAGAATGTGGTACAGTGATTCTCTTGTATTAAGCATATTTGTATTCTGGTCTTGACTTTCTGAAAACATTAAGCCTACTTGACATCATATCATAGGCCATGGAGGGCTATACTCTACCAATAAGTAACTCAATGTCTGCCCACTGAATTTCACCATATTTCTTCTATTCCCTTTAAATACCTATTACAAAAAATGTCCTGTCTTATCATAAGTCCTTTGGGAAGCAGGTAGGATTGCAGTCATGAGTTAACAAAAATGAAATTTAAAGAAAAGAATATTGACCACCCAGTATAGAATTTATAGTGAGGTTAACCGTAAAGACAGACAATTAAATAACAATCAAGTGCCGAGATTATTTCTATGATTTAATCCTAAACTTGAGTTTAAGAAAACCACAAAAAAATTTACTAAATCGAACAGTCCTATAACTAAGAGTATATAGCTATACTCTGGTAGCTGAGTGATATGGGTTCTGTTATTTAATAGTCAGAGCCCAGTCACTGTTCTCATTGTTTCTGCTTTTGCACCTAAGCATTTGCTTTTGTGTTCTTAGGGGTGGGATTGAGTTCTGTGAAATCCCTTGTAACAAGGTCAATTTTGAGTCATAAGCCCCCTAATGTTTTCCCCCCTCATTGAGTTTTGGTATATTTTAGGTATATAGTACAGTTACATTCTCATTGGGATCTTGTACCTTTATATGACAGGTCTTGGTTCTCATTTTTTCCCCTTGTCCCTGCCCTCCCTTCACCCCCTCCACCCCTCCCCATTTACAAACACTTTATTTCAATTTTTTCATTTTCTCATATTTATTTCTTTTCCCTTGTTACCTTTCCCCTGCCCTTCCCACTTTCCAAACACCTTTAGCCCTTTTCTTCCTATTTCATATTGTCAATTATCTCATTAGGATCTTATGTACTATTATAGTTTTTCACACCAGAGAAGCTATTTGGTATTTACACATGTATGAATCATATATTTCATCGAGGAGTATATTCTCAATATATATCCATTTTCCTATGAATGAATCTAATTTCTCATTCTTTATGGCTGAGTAGTATTTCGTTTTATAGAAAAAAATACATTTTAAAGCCCCTTAATTTGTTACTTTAATTTTTATTTTCACTTTTCCTTGTTTTGATTCTTTCTGCCATCTTTGATAAGTCAAAATTTAAGCCTTTAATTTTGAAAAATCTTTATTCCTGGATTATCATACCAATGAAATATTTTGCTACCCTAGTAATTCATAAAGTTGGTGGTGTGTGTTTTTTGTTGTGATCAGTGACTTCTCCTTGGCAGGCAAAAAAAGTTGCTGTAACAACTGTGAGTCAACTTCTTGATGCCAGTGAAAATGTTTTTCAAAGAGCTGCTGCTACTGATAATGATGATTCTTTTGGAACGTAAGCACAATTTCAATTTGGAAAGAAAATTTGATGAAGTCCTCTTTAGTTTTTTAGGTTAAAGAATTAACAGAAGTAATTGTTTATTTCCCTTATGAATGAAGTAACTGGGTGATTCCTCTGGAATGGCAACAGAATCCTGAGCTTTCCCCTGGAACATGTTACTACAGGGTGTGCTTTACCTTCTATTTCCCAGGGTGGCCATGGTTTGAGAGACAAAGTATAACTGAAATGATTTAGTTTATAATTTGGTTTCCCTAGCCTTAGTTTGGGCTGGCCAAGGGGCAGCACTAGCTCCTCCAACTCTACTCTCAATGTGCACAACTTCAGAGAGCAGCCACTTTCGCTGGAAACAGTGCCAGGCCCCAATCCATACCTCAGCTCTCTCTTCTCCAGACTCTGATGGAATTTAATTAAACTTTTTTTTTGTTTTTCCGAGGATATATTGAAAAAGAAAATTTATTCAACTCTGTTTTTTCTCTTCTTAACTCATGTTCCAGATTACTTTTGGTTATATATTTGTACTAAAACTCATATAGGTTATCCATGGGGAAAGAGCCCTCATTTGAGATTATTATGCTTTAAAATTTTTATACATTATATACTCATTATAGCAAAATAAGAAAATATATTGATGAGTGAATTTTAAAAAATCGCTCCATCTTTATTAACCTGCAGTTTGTATATTCCAGATATTCTTCCCCATATATAAATTTACCCTGCACTGATTTATACTACCCTTTGCATGTAAACATTTTAAAAACATATGAATATCTATACATCTACTTCTTAATTTTATATTACTGTATTATATGAGTAAACTATCTAGTCAATCATGATTTAGATTGTTTCCAAGCTTTTAATGTTATAAACAATCATCATTCTTGTTAGTAATCATTGTGTATATGTCTATTATTTCCTTAGGAGAAATTCCTGCACATAGTTTTCAGTATGATGATTACAAACCACATCTTTTCAGTATTGAGCCCTCAGAGTAGAAAAATCATGCAGTAGAATATTCAGAATATTATAATTCTGACAGATGGTGGTAGAATTTGTATGAAGTTTTACCAATATATTTTGTGACTTCATTATGTGTCTGGGCCATTTTCAATGTGGAAAAAAAGCATTTGTACTAAACATGTACACATGTTATTCTTGACATTATTTCCTACAAATACAGTATAACAACTATTAACAGAGCACTTATATTGTATTAGGTTTTATAAGCAATTTTGAGGTGATTTAAAGTGTATGACTTCTCACACACTTTATCCATAGATTATATGAAAATACCACATCATTTTATACATAAGGGACTGAACACTGGCAAATTTGAGCATCCATGTGGGGTTGTGCTGAAACCAATTCCTTATAGAAAATGAAAGTTGATTATATTCTTAATGAGTTGCCCACAGTGATCACTGCTTATGCTCCTCTCTCTAAGGGAAGGAAATAAATCGCTGCTCAGGTCTGGATGCATGGTCTCTTGACAAGTACAGGTCTTCATCATCCATCTTAATTTAACTTCTGCTTGCTTTCAATCACAGTTTCCTATATATGTCTTTCATCCACTGAATTCCCTTTGCAATCCAGTTATTTATTAAGATAAATAAGAATAAGAAAGGTAAAAGGAGTGGAAGAGGAGAAAGCCTCCAGCCTGATGTCAGTCACCTCAAGTTTTCATAGTAGTTATCGATCATATATTTTATTTTTCTAAATAGAGAGGAGGCTAGTATTAACGCGTTGCAGAGCTCTGGAGCTCTGGTTGGGATTTCTGCTGCTTGAGGTCTCACAGTGTAATCAGTGAGTTTAGGACCTCCTTTCTCCATTTTGTACACTGGTTGCAAAGGTTGATTTTATAACTTGGAACTTTTTTGTCATATTGAAAGGTCACAGTTGCTCTTGCTTGCCTAATTTGGGGAATGGAAAACTGTCTCCAAATCACTACTTTGTACATTTGCATTTACTTTTATGTTTGTGTTTGTTCCACTAGTCCTCTTTGGTAACCCACTGAAATTATATTGACAAAATGGAGATTTATTGTAAAGAGGTACACAGGATCTCAGGGGAACACAAACATAGGATCTTAGCAGAGTAGGGCCTTATAAACCCTGGAGCAGGGAGATAGATGGGCTCTGAGGCAGCTTTATAGATCTAGTAGAAAAGTCTGTAGGTCTTCCTTTATCTTCAATAGGAATTATTATACTCATTTTTCATCTATATTTGTTTTTACAATGATATAGTGACCTATTTTGCTCTTCTGAATCATCTTTTTCCTGATATTACTGCTGCACTGACTGGAAAATTCCAAACAAAAGAATTTAATGGCTTGTTTTAGTCATTTATATAAGGTTGATGGCCAGCTTTTTTGTTTGTTTGACTGATTTTCTTTTTGTTTGGTGCTGGGAATTTAATCCAAGTATTGGGGATTTAATCCAACGGTCAGATTCCAGATTAGATTAGCTACTCAGGCCACTTGTAACCTAACCAATTAGGACATGAAAAGAAAAAAAGTCATGTGGGAGGAAAAAAAGGAGGCTTTAATAGTTGCTGAGAAAGGAGCATCCCTTTAAAAGTGTTTGTAAATATGGTAAACATATTCTTAATTTTAGCACATCTTTCCCTTTAGCCTATAAATGCCAGAGAGTGTTACTACAGAATC